ACTAGAAAAAGGTATAGATACCAATCATAGATGGCAGGATCAGTGTTAAAGTGCAAGGAAAATGTTTTTTGTAATTTTTGAAAAAAAAAATTCTTCTTAGAGGGCACTTATTTACAGTCACAAACGTATTTTAGGATTTTTTTTATTAAATATCTCTTTAAACTTCATTAAATAATACAATTTTGTACAAATAATTGAATGTTATACTACTGTTTAAAAAAATAAAATCTGAAATCCAATAAAATATAAGTTCTCTATAATTTTTTCAATACACAAATGTTATTTTGCCCTCAAGATAGGACAAAATGACCACAGTAGTTAAGGCGTTAACTGGTCAAGCTGAATTTAGAAATATTGACTTTGAATCTGTACCCTGAATAATTCAAAAGCTGTCATGAGAACAAACTAGCATTATGCATAAATTAAAATCTTATCTTTCTATCATTATAAATCATGTAATACCAAACTCAGAGGATCAGACATATTTTGAAATACTATGTGATAGGAGGGCATAGCATGTGGTTTGATTCTTCTGGTTTATATCACAGCAAAACACGATGAATGGAGGCTAAATTATATATTTGCAATATCTATAAGTTTGTATAATACATAAAACTCAAAACATCAAGTAGGGATAAAAAGATTATCTAAAATGTGCAACTTGCAGTGAAAAAGTGCCACATAATACAGAAAAGTGAGGATATAAAACTTAATTAAATATTTTCTTTTGAAGTTTAAATTTCAAATAACATTAAAACTTGAATTATATTGACAAACACAGATAATAAAGTAGTTTAACTTTTGAACATAATTTTGGAAAAAGTTCATGATATGCATTTTTACCTATTTGTATCTAGAGGGATAAAATGGTACAACAGAGAGAATTAACAACCTCTGATAGAGTCAGAGTAATATCTTTACCTGATGCTGATTGGAGTTTAAGAAAAATTAAAAAAAAACTGTGGTTGTTTAACAAGTACTATGACATACACATTGGACAAAAATACAAGAAAACCTAGCCCTATAACATCAGACATGGCAAGAGATGGAGAAGAGCTCACTTAAAGTGATGATATATATATATATATATATATATATATATATATATAAATATAAAACTGAAGGAAAACTGTAAAAAACTTTGTGGATGTCACACACAGATAAAGTTTCATGTCAGAAGGTCAAATTTACACTTTTACACTACTATGTTTTTATAAACATAAACACATCTATATATAAATATAAAATAAGCATTACAATTGCCATTGTCAGTCCAAATGTGTTGGGATATCCAATCTATCAGACAAAATCCAAATGCTGATGTTAAACTAGCCAGCTAACATGAAAAATCAATTAATGGTATGTAGTTGAGTGCTTATACTCACAATGTCTCAACTCCTACTGCCTTTCACTGTCTGCAGTCAGTTGTGGGAAGGCAGTTACCCTTAGAGTTTTTGAGGTTCTTATATTATCTAAGTTTTAGATACTTTTCAAAGGAAACCTTTGAAAAACATACTTAAACTGCAGTTTTCATGTCACATGATCCACAAGCTTTGAAAAATCTCAACTTTAGCAGTATTTCACTGTTAGTAACAAAAGCTGGCAATGTATATGAGTATGTAGAAGCTAAGTGCATGATATCCAAAGTTCTAGAACTGTATTCACTGGGAAAGAGAAATAAAGTTTTGAACCCTTGATGGTTGCCACAAGTGTATATAGTCATTAGAAAGAGCTCATTTTACACTATACTCTTATCAATGATTAAGTTGAAATTGATGCTCAGTTTTCCTCATGGTATACATGTAACTGCTATTTGTACTGTTGTCTGCTTGATTGACAATAGCAATTAGGGTGGTTTCTTACCTAAATATGACGTAGTTAGAGATAAGTTGTATTTAGGTCTTACTTTTATATTTTAGTTACTTATGTATTGTGTGTGTTTTAAAAATCATATTTAAACGATTTAATGATTTTTATAAATTTAATTTGTCACCTGGATCGTTTAAGATTATAAACAAAATGGCATGTATAATCACCATTTTGTTTTTGCAATGCATTTCTGCACAGAGGATGCCAAAATACCTTCATAAAGCCCTGTGGCTATCAGTTGACATATTAGCATAAATTATAATAAACAGAGAATTTGAAAGGAAAATTTAAAATAAACTACTAGTGAAAAGATTAAAACATGAAATTACACATATAAGAAAAATATGACTATTCTAGTGGATTTCTACGAAGAGTTGAAAGGTATGTACATATTTCCATTTGTTAATTTTAAAGATATCATTGCACTGTATGTTGATGGTAATAGATAGAGTCAATGATATAGAACAGAAAATGGAAAATAAAATACATATATTTACCTTAAAAGGTTTTGATATTCATTTAAAGAGTTCTAGAGATTATATGAGTGAAATGTGAAAACTGTAAAATAAAAATATTATGTTTATACTTCATATAAATATACCTTGCAGGTGAACTATTCAGAGTGCAAGTGAAAATAACTACATCAAATAATGAATTTTTTTATAAGAAATAGTAGAAAAAAAACACATATTAAATGTTTAATTTTTCTGAAACTACATACTTGTCAAATCTGAAACAATTTTTTCCACTAGTTTTATTTTTGGAAAGAAATATAACAGAGCGATGTTCACTACTATAGTACTACAGTAGTGTTTTTTTGTAATGAACACTGTGAAGGGTTCCATGACATAAATTTGATGTCAGGAAAGTTCCATGGATACAAAAAGTTTGAGAATCACATGACACAAAAGATGTTTTTGAAAAACTTGCTGCACCATTTTCTTTGGATCACTAACATTTTACAACACTACTTAAGCCTATTTTTTGAAAGCAAATATTTATTACAAAACAGAATAAAAATACTAAAAAAGTAAGTTTGTTTTTTTGTTTTGAATTTCATGCAAAGCTACACGGCTATCTGCGCTAGCCCTCCCTAATTTAGCAGTACAAGACTAGAGTAAGGCAGCTAGTCATCACCACCCACCACCAACTCTTAGGCTACTCTTTTAGTATTGAATAATGGGATTGACTATCACATAATTCCCACATGGCTAAAAGGGAAAGCATGTTTGATGGAACAGGTATTCAAACCCGTGACCCACAGATTGGGAGTCGAGCTCTATAACCACCTGGCCATGCCGGGCCTAAAAAAGTAAAACAACCACTTATTGTCTTTACAGATACACATTTTTGGAATGCTTTCCAACATAAATTTTAAGCTAACTAAATACTTTAATAAATAAGTTTCCTAATAAAATCTCTATGCAAAAAAAAAGAGACATTTACTTATATTGTAAAATTATCACCAGTATCCAATATGGGCTATAATTGCAATTGAAGTAAAAAAAACAATAGTACATATTATAAGTGATCCTTTAGCTATAACTTTCACTGCTACCCTTTTAAGACAAACTTATGTTGTAAGTTTAAGCTTCACTATAAATCAAATCTAACATAGTTCAACTTAAAATATACATAAATGAAACAGTCAGATCCTTTATAAGGTAAGTTTATTAAAATTTTGCAATAAATAACTGAAAACTTAAACAATGACTACAATGTATTATATATAGAATATATGGACTACTTACAAGTCATTATGCTATTCAACTAAAACAGTTATAGGGTCATTTTTAATTAAATATGATACATTAGAATAAAGTCCATTTTCTATATCCTGTATAGTGTCAGTTTCAAATTAATTCAAATAAAAATTGTTTAAACTAGCCACATTGGAGAATGACTAAAAATGTTATAATTACATTAAAAAAATTCAAAATTTTTATCCAATCTCAAGTTTCAAAACTTTCTTTAAAATAATTTTTGTGAAGTAAATTTGTCAATTTTAGTGACATATATAGATAACTCTCTGGAAATAATTTCTTTGATAAAGTATTAAATTTTCAGTTCACTGTAATAACAAAAAAATATTAACTCTTTTTCAAAACAAGTATCGTTTTGTGCACATGTCACGAGGTTTTAGTGAGTTACATTCAAAATTTCTTTTCATAGTATATCAATAAATATAGCACAAAATGCAGCTAATAATCCAAATTTAATATGATATACGTTTTAAGGTAATATAAGAAAAAATCCTCAATTTCCCCTACTGTGAGAATTGTGACATTTGCTCTCTTTCGTAATTTATTTACCATTCCTCCAAGAAGTATGGAATTAAAACAAATTATTCATTATAATGTTGTCATCATTGAGGCAAATCATAATTTTTATAGCCTTCAATCTTATTTGGTTACAGAACCATAAAATATAAAATCAGATCCCTCTTGCCATACCCAGCCTGTCATATCCTCTTTTTCAATAATTGCCAATATTTCTCCAACGTAATACTATATCAATTATAACCAACAGAAAACCAAGGTTTTAATCTATCAAATGACATTACATTACTTTGTTTCCTGTACAGACAACTATCAATTTTGCTTTCAATTCAAGTTATATTCCCATGGGAAACACATCAAAGAGCTTAGCTGAATTTTTAACATCTCTTATCGAATAGTTAAAAAGCCAGAAAAATTGTGCTAGTTATGTGACATTGTCTGCTCTTTGCATGTTATTATTCTACATTCGGTGGTCCATTATTTTATTAAATAAAAAATTAACTAATACAATAATACCACTAGTATAAAAATGTAGGGTTTAGTGTCATCGACAGTCAAGAGCAAAAAAAAGACAACCTAGATAAGTACTTTATTTCTTGTTTTTCATGTGTAGTCTTTATTCATTATTATAAAAGTAACTAAAATGCAAAAATAGGAAACTTTTTCATGAAGTACACTTGTAAGCAGCACACAAGTAGCTTGTGCATAATGAATTTGATAGTGTAACTTGAGCTGCACATCTGCCAACTGATTTACAACTTATAATGGTGTGAAAAATAGTAATACACAGTTCAAAGAACAATAAAATTTAATTATAAACAAATGTATATTGTTATGAGATTTCAGTTGTTTAGGATAAACAAATGTAGTTTCATGTCACAATTAGAAGTCATTCTAGAAAGAAAAAAATTAGATAATTTAGGTTTATTTTGTATTTTTTCATGGTAGTTACGAGGTCAGTCACATTCACCATCCTCTTTCGGAGTTAGGGAAGAGAAAAAAACAGATAAAATATAGTTTTACTGAAAAAAAAATGTTTAACCATTATTTAGGAGGTTTTAAAGATTACACAAATGAAAATTTTAAACTTAACATGAAAACACTTTGCATTCTGACTAGTAAAAAAAAACTGATATATTCATGGACAAATCTTTATAAAACATGGTAAATTAAAATCTAATTTTTTGTGTAAAAATATTGTAATGTTTACTAAATGTCTGCCAAATTTTATGAAGATACACATATTGTATTAAAAGTTAGAGTATGGACACTGCAACAAGTACAAAATGGTGACAAACTCAGTAGAACCCATGTGGAAATAACTTAAACTTGAATATTACCATTTTCTTTATTCTCTTGACATCCTTTCACATGATCCAGCATGACACGACTTGGGGTTTCACCATTTACCATACAAACATGGTGGTAAAGTTGTGCTAGTTCTTCTGACACATTTACAAGATCCTCCTGTCAAGATAAAGAAAAATGTAACAAACCCTTTCCAAAGTGAAAAAGGCAACATTCGAAAACCTGGTACATAAATAAAAATTGGAAGTAATATATTTAGCCCATGAGAAACTTGGTACACAAACAGAAATTGGAAATAAAAAAATTAACTAACCCAAAAAACCTGGTACACAAACAGAAACAAAAACATATCTAACCCATGACATAATATTGTTAAAAAATATTACATTGCTGACTTGTGAGCTGCATCACTGGATGTTCAGGTGGTTCATGAATTTTAGAACCTTGTCTAGTGTGCTACCATATTAGGAATATAGTATCAGCATACCTGAGTAAAAACATGGCGGACAGAGCAGCTATTTTGAGTTTATCATTGAAGTTATGATTTTCTCATACTGAAGCAGATTGCATCCATAAAATTATGAGCAACCTTACCCTCTAGACAGAACCGCAAAGAAGCCATGTGCAACATCAATCTATGGGACCCACTGCATGGAGGTGGAGCATATTTATTATTAGACATTGCAACATCATCTCCTCAGATAGGACCATACAGCATTGAAAAACAATGCCAACTTCTGGGTCCCACTGCATAGAAGGAGATTGCCTCAACCAATTATATGTAACTGCACCCTCTACAGTGTTTGATTTATTACATGAGCAATATCTTAGCAAACTGAAAAGATAAGAGGCTATTATTTTATATTCTAGCTTGTCAATATTGGTAATTTGAGTGCCACTATGTTTGATTTATTACATATTTATATATTTATTAAAACTATAGACTTAGTATTTTGACTTCACAAACATCTAATTTGAACCAGTGCTGCATTCAACATACCACGTCACACACAAAAATTGATGTTTATCTGTTTTTTTTAATATTTGCTTTTAAATTAAGAAATTGAGTAAAATATAGTACTAAAATATGAATTATAATCTACAGTTCGATACCAAAGTTATTGAGATAAATTCATGAAATAGTAGTTCAATAAAATTTTTAATGTGAATCAACAAACAAGATGACGTGGCCTTTCACCCATGACCCGTCTCGAAAGGGTTAAGTATACCTGGACAGGCAACACTTGCAACAGATCGAGGTCCTTAATGAAAAAAAAGAAACATACCACTAAAAAGAAATTAAAATTTATATAAAAAGATAACTTAGCCAGTCACAACATCACTGAAGTTTGAAGAATGGCAGCAGGTAGAAGATGGTACCCCAACGAGGAATAAACAGCTACTTGATAATGATGGTGGGAGATAAAAGTATGAGGTGTTGTCCACATGTCCAACTGAAGAAGTTCCTCCAATGGACGGCGGAGGTGAGACACCAGGGAAAAGGTAAGGTGCCTGATCTAATGCAACAACACCTGGAACAGAGTTCAGGAAGAAGGAGACAAAAATGAATAAACCAGTCGAATCAAAAGCCGAACCCTGTTGGTAAGGGTGGAAGGAGAGAGGTCACAAACAGAAGAATGTTGCCAAGGGATGAAAGGGCAGAAATGGGAACCACAGAAAGAAGTCATGCAAGCAGTGTAACAATGAAGAGCATGTATGGGACACAGAAGTCTATCCGAATCAGACTTGGATGGAATAAAAGTGGGAGATGGAAAGAAGCAAAATTGGCAAAAAAGAATAACTTCCCTCACAAGCCACCAAAGTTTTGGGGAGGAAAGATCTATCCAGACAAAGGAGAACATAGGTGGAATGATACAGAGTGCATGAAAAATTTATAGCAAATATATTAGACTGACGATGCCCACAGACTAACAGGAGTATGAAATAAGTCATATGGGACAAGAGAAACAAAGAACAGGAAAACAAAAGCTCAAATGGAGGTAGAGTAAGGTAGTGAAGAACCACATTGACATCCCAATCTGGAAAGACTGCCCAACAAAGCAGTCTATGAATCCGGAAGGAACACAACAAAGGGGAGAGGGTAGGGGAAGTAAACACTAAATGGTACCGGGAAAAATGGATGGTGTGAGATAAGACTGCCTGATATCCAGTAATGGACAAGACCAAAGCCCTATGATCAAATGGCCAAGTGAGGAAATCTGTAATAAGAGGAACAGTGGGTAGAGAAGGGGATAAACCCTGACTCAAAGAAATGGCAGAAGACATTCCATTTTTGTTACTAAACCATCACTGAGGAAGGGTAAATGGAACATGCTAAAAAAGGAAGTGACCCACTGAAATAAACTGGATCTCCTAGGACCTGATAAATGGCGTGAAAAAACAGGTAGGAAGGGCGATTAAATTACCAGTTACTGAGGCTGACATAGAAGGTATGAAGTGAGAGGCAGTTTGGAATCAAAGTTACAAAGAAACCATGGTTGTATCAGTCTAGAAGGTGCAATCAGAAGGACCTGACATGGAGTAGCATGGATAATTGAAAGCAGTCAGATGAGACGATAAACATAAAGGTACCATTTGGTCCAATCCTAGCTGTTGAAGAAAACAACAACACCCAAGTGGAAAAGACACTGAGTATGTAAGAGGAAAGACTTCTCCAACTTGATAATCCAGCATACTCAAGCTGCTTCTGTCAAAGCAGATGTGTATTGTGAATGTCTCCAGTTCAGAATGAACTAAAAGAAGCGAGTGATCCATGTAGTGGTGTAAGCGCAACTCCCAAGTATGCATAAGTCGGGTTAGACCACCTGACAAAAGACATACAGTGGCAAAGCAAGCTCAAAGGACAAGGTGCAAAACTAATACATAACCCCTTGGTGGACAAACTGAAGATAGCATTTTGACTGATGAGAAATAGGAATATGGAGATAAGCATTCAAGAAGTCTGCCATGGTTGTCCACAGTCCTGGAGAAAAAGCCCACCTAAGTGTAACAAAGGACTCCATGATAAAATGGGGAAGATCCAAAAATTTGTTGAGGTGGGACAGATCAATCACAGGACACCAGACCTTGGTTTTCTTAGTTACCACAAACAAACTGAAGTAAAAACCTGGGGAATGCTGGTTGAGAGGCTCAATAGCTCTCTGTGATAGAAGAGACCATACTGCCTCAGAGTAGGATCCCAAGGTAACAGAAAGGATATGGGTACTGGAGACAATGGAGGAGGGAAAGGAATTGGATGAAAAATCCTTCAGACAAAACCTGGATAACCCAAGAATTGGCAGCGAATTTCCACCATAGGGTAACAAAATCGGCCAAACAAGTCCCCGAATGGACTGGAACCCACAGGATGTCAACTGTATTGCTGGAGCTGATGAAACCTATGGCAAGAAACACTATGAATGGTGGAACCCCTAATGGTAGGAACAAGTAAAGGATGGGAAGGTGCAGGATGTGGAACAGTAACAGAGGATTAAAATGGCTCAGAATGAGACAAACAACCAACCAAAGATGAAAGGGTCGAATGTTGTCACACAGAATCCACACGATTCCAAATTTTCAGGAATATCCCAAAAATGGACCAGTGGAAAAAAGGAGCCATGCACAAGTCCTGAAGATAAGTGGATGGTAAACAAACCTGAGACAAGACAGCATTCCTCCCCAAAAGACCCCAACAGCAAAGAAACCACATGTGAAAGAAGAGAGCTGAAGAGGGTAATCACACTAATGTGGAGGTAATGAGAGAGAGAGAATGTAGCCCCTGAAAATCCCTAAGAGATCGGTGGAGTGCCTCTGAAAGTAGGTGTATGGTGGACAAGTACTGTAGGAGAGTTGTAAGGATAAGAGGAAGGCAGAAAAACTAGGCATGGGACAAACACATAGGATTGTCAGTGTCAGCCCCCCTTACAGGCAAAAGTGATTCTAACTGCTGAGAATGAAGAAAAAGGTAATCTACCTGATGGTAAACCAAGGCAAAATGATCCGAAGCCCATGGAGGTCGAAACATGCTGGCACCTGCTTGCAACTGAGAAACAAGATGCTCAGCATGAAAAATTGTCAGGAGAATGAAGGAAAACAAAATACTGTAATGCAATAAAGAAGGTACAGAATTATAAGAAAATGAGGAAATTGAAAAAATGGAACACACCTGAGAAATCATGTCTAAAAAGACTAAGTTAGGCCTAGCAGATTCTGCAGGAAAGACTTTGGAAGGCACAGTATAATCAGGTGGAAGAAAAAGACTGTCAAAATCCTCATTAATGAACAGATTTGCCAGATTCAGGAAATCTAGCAATATCGGGAGAAGGTCAACTCATAATATGATCATTCTCCCAACAAATGAAATCAGAAATCCCTCAGTCGAGTTCCCCAAACTGAAGCCTCTGTAATTGTGCTGGAAGTAGGTGGTAGAACCTCCAAAGTGGTAACATGAACTTCAGAATTCATATTATAATGATGAAGAATTGTAAAAACAAGAAGAACAACAAAGGTATGTTATCATGTAAAACTACAGAAATAAACTGTTGTAAAAAATATTTCCACTTCATATCAAATATTAAAGAAAAAAACGCTTGAAGAAAACACAATCAAAAATGTCTGCACTAGACCACTGCCTAACGAGAAGTGATAGTTCGGTAAAATTGAATAGACAGAGGGTTGTCACAAGATGATTTACATGTGAGATGCAGTTGAACCATGACGATTATGGGGTATGTGGGAATGGAAAGCATGTAGCATGCAAAAAATGTTTGTATGTAAAAGGCAGCACTGAACAAAAATAGCTATATATACGAGAAGAGGTAATGTACTGTTTTGAAAATGTTCCATGTTGGGGTTACTGAGTATTGGAAATTGTGGTAAATCTATTGCTAGATCTTTACGCTGTTAGTAGTTATTATTTTCATGTTATAACATAACATATCATTTTGGGACAACATTGGACATATTGGTCCATCTTGGCTGTTCCATCCTCTAAACTAAATTAAAATGATTGAAAAAACATGCATAAAAAATCTTAAAACCAACCCTTTTCATTCATATATTTATCAAGGGTTTTCTTATAGTCACTTAAATTTACTGCCTCTACAACATC